GCACTTTGGGAGGCAGAGGCAGGCGGATCACTTGAGGTCAGGAGTTTGAGACCAGCCTGGCCAACGTGGTGAAACCCTGTTTCTACTAAGAATACAAAAATTAGCCTAGCATGGCGGCAGGCACCTGTAATCCCAGCTACTTGGGAGGCTGGGGCAGGAGAATTGCTTGAACCCGAGGTTGAGGTTGCAGTGAGCCCAGATCATGACATTGCATTCCAGCCTGGGTGACACAGCAAGACTCCATCTAAAAAACAAAAAGAAGTTGGGGGGCGGGGTGGGGTTCTGTGTGCAGTGGCTGACGCACTTCGGGAGGTTGAGGACAGAGGATCGCTTGAGCCCAGGAATTTGAGACCAGCCTGGGCAACATAGTGAGACCCCATCTCTACAAAAAATTAGCAGGGCATGATACACACCCATAGTCACAGCTACTTGGGAGCCTGAAGCAGGAGGATCACTTGAGCTCAGGAGTTGGAGGCTGCAGTGAGCTATGATGGCGCCACTGCACGCCAGCCTGGACGACACAACAAGACTCCATCTCTTAAAAAGAAATCAGGGTTAAAGAGCGTATAGCGCTGTTTATTCTCCCTGCAAAAACAGTTTCTGGTTTTCCGGCTGGGGCTGGCAGGTCTTGCAACTTGCTGATCTGCAGATAAATGGGTTTTGCGTGTCTAGCTCAACTTTCTAGAGGAAGCCTTGTCTGAGGGCTGCTGATTCATATGTCCTTAGCTTCACCTGCCTTGCTGCATTATTTGTGCATCTCACTTCTGTGGTTTCTGGTTCGTTTCTAGCCTCTCCCCATAACCGCCCCTTTGCTTTGATCTGTTCTGTGAGGCTTCCCCTCCCCAGCCCGCTCTCCATCCACCCTGGCAGGTCTCACAGTCTCCGGACAGAGACCTAAGCGTAGCCCAGAACCAAGCGTGCCACCGGTGACGGCTCTCAGGCGTGTGCCTGATGAGTGCAGGGCTGCCCAGCTGCCGTTCCGGTCAGAGCCTCTGCTTTGCAGGGCAGCTTTGTCACGGTTCTGCCAGCCCCATGCCCCCCATCGTCTCCTCCCTGCCTGGTCCGTCCTGGGCGTTGAAATCGGCTGTGGCTTCTCCGCCTCTCCCTGTTTCTAGCTGGTGGGGTGTGGCACAAACGCCTGCCCTGACCGCTTCATCTGGATCTCGGGACCCTCATGTGTGTCCTAGGGATGTCTGGGTGCTGCTGGGGCTGCCTACCCCCACCCCCCCCAAACATATGCTTGCTGGGCGCACAGGGACCTGCCAGGAAAGCTCGTAATTGGGATGAGGAGCTGCCATGATGGGGGTTCCTGGGTGTTGGGGGGGTCCCTAGGTGATGGGGGCTCTGGGTGAGGAGGAACCCCAGGCGATGGGGGCCCAGGTGATGGTGCACACCTTGTGATCACGCTGGGGAGAGGAGTATTTGGTTTCCACCGGGAGGAGCCCTTCTAGCTCAGCAGGGAGGGGAGAAGGTCTCTCTTCCCTCCAAGGGCTCCAGACAGAGCTGGCTGGTGAGAGGGAACGGAAGAATGGCCTTGGGGGCCCCTGCCCTTCCGTGGGGGCCCATGGACACATGTCCCTGCCCCTGCTGAGCGGGAGGTACTTCCCAATACCCAGTTCTGGATGAGGGAAGCTTCTGGAAGAGATGCGGCCGTCCCCTGGGTGGCCCATGGACCCAATCTGCCTGAGAAGATGAAGTGGTTGAAAGTGTCCTTCCAACCTGGCGGGGTGGCAGTGCTGTGTCCTGGAGGGGCTGGGGCTCCCTCTGATGCCCTCGTCCTCTGTGGAGCTTCTCCCCAGGCCTGGGCGGGAGCAACCCATCCCCTGCCTAGGACATCAGGCCATGTGTGCTCCGCAGTGAGGGGACACCTGTTCCTGTCACCCACAGGGTGCTGTGGGCCCAGAAGCGCCCATGCCAGAGGGCATCCAGAACCAGGCAAATCTGGGCCTTGCGGGCCCTTGGACCAGTGTCTGTCTGCGGGGAGCCCCCAGTAACCGCTCAGATCAGCCCGAGGGAAGATTCTGGACGAGACCGTGGCTGCCCCCGGGGTGGCCCATGGACACCAGCAGGGGCTCCCAGGAGTGGCCAGGCCCTGCCCGCCCACCATGCTGCAGTGTAGACACGCACAGGAGTTCAGCTTCGGGCCCCGGGCCCTGAAGGATGCCCTGGTCTCCACTGACGCGGCCCTGCAGCAGCTGTACGTCACCACCTTCTCCCCTGCCGAGCGGCTCTTCCTGGCCGAGGCCTACAACCCGCAGAGGACACTCTTCTGCACCCTGCTCATCCGCACGGCCTTCGACTGGCTCCTGAGCCGCCCCGAGGCCCCCGAGGACTTCCAGACCTTCCACGCCTCCCTGCAGCACCGGAAGCCCCGGCTGGCTCGGAAGCACATCTACCTACAGCCGATAGGTATGGAGCACCGCCGCCAACGGCACGCTCCTGGGGGACCAGCTTATATGTAGCACAAGGGGGGATGTCTGTGCGTAGCCCCCAGGCAGGACTGAAACGAGGGAAGAGAGTCCTGGGTGTTTGGGATGCCAGGGTGGAGGCAGGGAGGTCCTGGCTGGGCCAAGGCTTCCTTCCTCCCACCCCATCCTGACACTACGCTCAGACAGCCCAGGCTCTGGGACTGATCCTCATCCAGATGTGCGTGGTCCTGGCTATGCCTGTTGAAACTAGAGCCATCCCAGGCACTGTGCTGTGGGCTGTATAAAGATCCCGCCGGGCCTGGTGGTGCACACCTGTAATCCCAGCTACTTGGGAGGCTGAGGCAGGAGAATCGCTCGAACCTGGGAGACAGAGGTTGTGGTGAGCTGAGATCATGCCACTACACTCCAGTCTGGGTGACGGAGCGAGACTCTCAAAAAAAAAAAGGCCATTTCTTCTTTGGGGTGCCGAAATGAGGATCAGCCCATTTCACAGGCAAGGAAATGGAAGCAGGGAGAGGTCCCTTGACCTGTCTGAGTTGCAGAGCTGGTCACTGGTAGGGACGAGACTGGAATGCAGGTCTATTTGACCCTGGCGTGGGGGTGCTCATCCTGATGCTGTAGTGGGAGGGGGTGGGCTGAGCAGGGTGGGGATCTACAGGGCTCAGAGTGGTCACTGCCCTCAGAGCTCTGTGTCTGGCACAGTCTGGGGGACCCAGGGTGAATGGGGGGCCGAGACACCAGGCATCCGCGCTCAGAAGGGAACGGCCCAGGCAGGTGCGGGGAGCGCAAGGAGCAGGGCCAGCCTCTGTGCCTCTCACATGCCAAGAGCAGCCTGGCAGAGACGGCACACAGGACAGGGGCTCTCGGGCTTGGAGAGGAGGAAAGGGCCGGTGTCCGCTTCTCACGCCAGCGCACCACGCCTTTCAGCATCTCGACAGCAAGCCAGAGCAGGGCTGGACCTTGGCTGGACTCACCCTACGCAGGCTTGTCGCCAGCCCTGGTGGTCCATGCATCCACCACCCCATAGGAGCCAATCCAACAGCTTGGGAACCACCCGCTTCCCTCCACCTCCCTGCTAATGGCTCAGAGCCTCACGTCCCAAGCTCTGACGCACAGATACATGGGCATGTTGTCGAGACACAGGGGCTGGGTCAGGAGGCGGGGGCTGGGCTGGGCTCTGCATTTCCCTCCTTTTCTGGGTGAGGCTGATGCTACTGGCCTGGGGTCCTGGCAGCCGATTTCTCATTGGTCTCCTGGCCTCCAACCTTGGTCCTTGTCCATCTGTCTTCCTGACCTGTGATCTGGTGTGTGCATCCCTCCAGGGGCTGCCCTGGGAGCCCCCTGCTGCCTCCCCAGCCTTGACCTGCACCCTTGTGTCCTGCTTTCTGCCCCAGCCAGGCTGGCATTTTGCAGCCAGGCAGCCCGGCTCTGTGTACTGCCTGCTCAGGTGCAGTGCCTGGTGCTAACCCTTGAAGTCCCTGTCCCTGGTGAGGCCCTGCCTGCTCCCACCCTGAGCTCACATGCAGTTGTCACTGCTGTCCTTTCATCTGTGCACGAATCTTTCCTCTATGTCCCTCGGTGTTTGCCCTTTTGAAAAAGTCATGCTTTCCATCTTCTTTCTAAGCCCGATGCTCTGCTTGCTGTCAGGGTAGATCCATATTGGCCTTGTTCACCCAGCTGGCCGGTGTCCACAGGCGATTCCTGGGGAGAGGGTCCCAGGCGGGCAGGGGTGCCGCAGGGCTGATGGCGCTGCTCTCCCACCAGATCTGAGCGAGGAGCCAGTGGGAAGCTCCCTGCTGCGCCAGCTGTGCAGCTGCACCGAGGCCTTCTTCCTGGGCCTGCGTGTCAAGTGCCTGCCCTCGGTGGCGGCCGCGTCCATCCGCTGCTCCTCGCGCCCCAGCCGGGACTCTGACAGGCTCCAGCTCCACACAGGTGAGTGAGGACGGCAGCCACGGCTCATGCCAAGGCAGCCCCTTTCCAGAAGGAGGAGGTGGGAGGAAGGCGCCCAGGAGAGGAAAGGAATCTTTTCTTCCTTTTTGGTGGGAAATGTCCATTTCCTAGGTGTGTGGGAAGCAGCACTGAAACAGGGAGTTCCTTCTTCCACCCAGGAGTGTCCGGGGACCTGGCCATACAGCCAGTGCCCACGGGAAAACGCCAGAGCACGCAGAGCAGGAGAAGCGAGCCCTTCTTTTTCTCTTTTTTTTTTTTTTTGAGATGGAGTCTTGCTCTGTCGCCCAGACTGGAGTGCAGTGGCACGAATCTTGGCTCACTGCAACCTCCTAGGTTCAAGCGATTCTCCTGCCTTAGCCTTTTGAGTAGCTGGGACTGTAGGCGCACGCCACCACATCCGGCTAATTTCT